AAATGCCGCGCGTTTGTCGAATGGAATGTCCAAAAAAAAATCACTTTTATCTCGTCGCCACTTTGTTACGTTTGTCGATCGGGAAATAATAATCACGCCACGAGTCAATTTAGCACCGACCTTTATTAATTATAAAAAATACAGCGGGGATGAACAACAGCGATTCATAGCGAGGGTAGGTAGGTATGTGTGCAGGGAGGTTTTTCTAAGCCGTGAGCTACGGCATCGAGGCGGGTCGCAGACAGACTTGATCGCTGCCGAACCTCGTAGCCCAGGTCTCGCTTGTGCGCTCTGGGTGGTCCGGCCGTTTTCGTCCTGTAGTCTGTGGTTCTGCACCAACTGGTTCTGGGTTGGTTCCGAACCCAACAGAAGACTACGCAAACAGCACAACCAGATGGAGTAGAAGTAAAATCCATAAGGCCAAACAGAAACGGCAATCAAGTTGCGACTGTATTGATGACCGAGGCAGACGCAGGTAAATTATTGAAAGAGGGCAGAGTGAGAATAGGATTCAATATGTGCCGAGTTGAGGAACGATTGGAACTGGAAAGGTGCTATAAATGCTGGGGCTTTGGCCACAAAGCATGGCAGTGCACAGAGGAAGACAGGACCAACCAGTGCCAAAAATGCACAAAAACTGACCACAAAAGAGCTGACTGCAAAAACGACGCATACTGCCCCTTATGCAAAGCAAACGACCACTATGCTGGAGCAGGAAACTGCAAGATGTTTAGAAACGCCCTAGCAGATGCCAGAAGAAGACAACAGCACTAATGGCTAAGAAAACCCAGAATACGAACACGAATATAGGAAACACGACAACTAATAACAAAATTGGACGCACTAGCGGAAACAAGAACAAGACAGATACGGAAATCAAATTTCTACAAATAAACCTCAATAGAAGCGCTGCAGCGCACGATCTGCTTAACCAGAAGGCAAATGAGGAGGAGGTCGACATTATATTGGGGCAGGAGCCAAACCTGAATTGAGCAAAGAATCTAATATGCGATACAAACTACGACTGCTTCATTGAAGCGAAAAAGCGGCCAATCATCAACTCTCACAGCGGAATTGGATATGCAGCGGGGGAACTAGAGGACATGGTTGTCATATCCTGCTACTTCTCCCCGAATGGGCAACGAGAAGATTTTGAAAACCTCCTAAACAGCATAGAGATATGCCTTAGCAGCACAAAGAAGGAAGTAGTGATGGGAGGAGACCTAAATGCTAAGACCCCTGCCCTGGGATCCGCAACAACAAATGCAAGAGGCATAATACTGGAAGACTGGCTAGCTGGAAAGGAAATGATAATCCTCAACACTGGGCAGACCCCCACATTTAGCAGAGCAAATGGGTCGTCGATAATCGACTTCACAATTGCCACACCAAAGATTAGCAGGAGAATATCAAACTGGAGAGTGGAAAGCGAAGTGGAAAGCCTAAGCGACCACTGCTATATCTGTTTCGAGGCAGAGGAATGCAAAAAAACGACCCCGGAATATAGTGGCTCGAAAGGATGGAAATTCACCAAAACCGCATGGGAGACCTTTGCCAAAGGTCGGGTGACAATGGATATAGAAGCCGAAAGGCAAACACCAGATATACTCATGAGCAGGATCAACAATATATGCGATAAATTCTTCCCCAGGAAAAAACAACAGCCCAAACACAGACCAGTTCACTGGTGGTGTGCTGAAATCGCAGAAAAAAAAGAGTCTGGAAGAGGGCCAGAGGATCAACAGTGGCCACAGAAGAGGAAAAGGAAACAAAACTGGTAATATATAGAGAGTCCAAACGAGAACTGAAGCGGGAAATTGGACGGAAAAAACAGGAAGCGTGGAAGAAGCTACTACAGGAACTCGAGGGGGACATCTGGGGAAAGGCCTATAAAATAGTCATGGAGAGGCTTAAACTAAGGCCGAGAATACAACTAACAGAAGAAGAAACAGAACTACAAATCAACAAACTTTTTCCAACGCATTCCACCCAGGTATGGCGCCCCATAAACAACCGAGATGAGGATGTCAAACTCTTCGACCTGGAAGACATAAAGGAAGCGGCGGCGAGAATCAAACCAAACAAGGCTCCGGGGCCTGATAATATCCCACCACAAGTGGTGAAGAAACTGATTGGAGATAACCCAGAAACCATAAGGGACATAATGAACGAATGCCTAAAAACTGGGACATTTCCAGAAAGATGGAAAACGGCCAAGCTGGTGCTGATCGAGAAGGCAAAGAAGGACCCAACGCAAACAAAAACATACAGACCTCTCTGCCTGCTAGACGTTATGGGGAAATTCCTGGAAAGCCTAATCAGGATACAACTAAACAAGGAATTACAGGAAAAAAAACATATTAAGCGACAATCAATATGGGTTCAGAAAGGGGCGTAGTACCGTAAGCGCCATCAAAAAAGTAATGAGCATACCGGAAGAGATTGCGAAGAAGGCCCATAAGAACCGTGAGATCTGTGCCATGGTCACATTAGACATACAAAACGCGTTTAACTCGGCCCCTGGAAAGGAATTATCAAGGCATTGGAGAAATACAAGATCAGCGAATACATAATCAAAATACTACAGTCATATCTTAGCACAAGGAGAATAACAACAGAACACGGGAAAACGTACAGAACAACCTCAGGAGTACCACAGGGCTCAGTGCTGCGACCAACCCTCTGGAATATATTTTATAATAAAATACTAAAAACTAGAACGGGAGAAAACGTATCGCTTGGTGGCGTACGCTGATGACCTTGCCATCATAACCAGAGCCAAGACCGCACTACAGCTGGAGGACAAAACTGGACGCGCAGTCAAGTATGTAACGAGGAAATTGAACGAAATGGGAGTCCAGATCGCGATACAAAAAACTGAATTGGTCCTCTTATCGGGCAGGAGGAAAGTACCTAGAATACAGATCCAGATGAGAGAAGTGCAAATTAACAGCCAAAGAGTAATAAAATATCTCGGAGTTCACCTAGACAAGGACATACGCATGACTGCGCACATAAAGAAAGTATGCGAAAAAGCCAACTTAACCCTTAACAGACTAAGCCGACTCATGCCAAACCTCGATGGGCCCAGCGCAACAAAGCGAAGAGGTGTACAGTTACAGTATTGCGAACACCCTGTAGAATTTTATCAGATTTTCATAGGACCATGAAGTAAATGTAAGTATACCTACACTAACAATCTGCAAAAGATTTAGCCGAGGATTTAGCTTAAGGATCCCTATTGAATGAAATGTGTTGCGTTTTGTTCAAAAAGGGTCGAGTTTTACGGGTCAATTCTTTGCACATCTGTAAGCATATCTATAAATTTCTATAAGCCTCTAGATACTGCAAAACGCTTTGATTGTCAAACACCCGAATCCCGATTGGAAATATTCACTATCTTATAATATAATCTGTGATCTACAGGAAGTGAAAAATTGCAAATTGTCTATAGGCATAGCTCGAGAGGTAGCTATAGGCTTATAGATGTGCACAGAATTGACCCATTAGTATAGGTAATTCCTAACAAAAAGTATGTAGGATTTTTAAAACAATTCATTGTTTTAAAATGTAGGGTGTTCCATTTAGGGCCGAATTTATAGTCATTCCTTGAGTCTGCCTTAAAGGTCGTGAGTTCAGAATGGACACTTGGTACTATTTGACAAGTTAGTCATGTCAATTCTAAACGTTCAAGGCTTCCTTAAGGTCCAAGGAAACCTCAAGGAGCGACTATAAATTCGGCCCTTAAAATAACAAGGTCTGTCGCATACCTCATTTACGGAACCCCCTGTATATTCAAAAATATTTTTAACTAATGGACAACCTACCTTAGAGTATCTAACAACTTTGTAATTTTTTTTTTCTTGCATTGCCCTGAAAGGAGATATCGTCTACTAAGTGGACATCCTGTATAACTATTTTGCCGGCATCAGGATACATTTTTGCTTGAGGTGTGTTTCAAACGATTTTCAGGTGCAAATTTGGGCGTAGCACCTCAAAAAAAAATCGCCTCCGGCGGTAAGCCATTCGACACATCATTTTCCCGTCATCCATTAGCCCCCCCCCCCCAGAAAATCATCTATGGACCGCCACTGGTTATGACGTTGGAAATGGCATCACACGAATATGGCGAGAATTACCAAAAACGAGGCCGATAAGCACTCCGAATTATGTGTATTCAGGGCCGTAGCTAGAGTCAAATTTAAGGTAGGGCATGACAAATTTGACATAGGGCATACACTACTTACCCCCTCCCTTGATTTTTTTATAGGTAAACAAAATGGGGCTAATGACGCCGAAGACAAATTTTTCGATAAATCAAGGTTCAGGTTGTATGGTAACTGGTAAGAGGTAACTTAATGACACATCTGATCTTGGATACCTTATAGAGATTTGCATTATGTTGAGGCACCCCAGATGACGTCATAAAGTTACCAGGCATCCTACCTCTCTCGCCTCTATCAAACAACCTTGCAATAAATAACATCTCTGGCAAATAAACAAAATGGCGCGGATTCTCTCGCCAGCCGCCTTGGGCCATTCGCACTCTTTGAAAACAAAAAACTTCCTCTGTGCAAACGTCAAGCATTGTTCATTAGATTTAGGCATTTTCGGAAGCATTTATCCTCGCTTACTCGATTTCAGGCCTATCTACTTCAGGCATTATCTACTCTTAAATTTTCTAGAGAAACCTAAATGCATGTTGATTTTTAAAGGTAGGGCATCATCATTTAAAAGATAGGGCATTGCCCCCCAATGCCCCCCCCCCTGGCTACGGCCCTGTGTGTATTCTCCGTGCGTTCGGTATTTTGATAGTGGTCCGAGCATTTACCGTTCGTTTAAAAGTGTACTCGGTGCAGGCTCATTCATGTTCCTTTATTAAAATTTGGATATCTTTGATACAGCATAGAGCGCTTAACTGTTCTGTGCGCTCGCTGGTAACGTGATTACGGCTCCGGTCTGCTCTTTGAGCAAAATACCGAACGCAAGGTCCAAGGTCGGACTGGTGACATCAGTCGTGATGTGACACATGACTCATGACTGACATGACTTGGTGCATGTGAGTTCCCTTTCATCCTTTCCTTTCTGTGTTTTTATTTTTCATTCCAAATTCCAAATAAATTAAATAACTCTTTTACTGGTAAATTGGTTATACAAATTAAAACAGCTAATATAAAAAGGTGCCAAAATAGTCGACATAATGTCGAAAATATACAAACAGCCTCCCCATTGCAAGGTAAAAAAATTATTGTTGCATACCTACAAAAAAAAAAATCTTGTTTAAATTCCATTTATATTTTGTAGGGTATCGAAGATCATCAAAAGTACCTGTCCAGAATTACAAAAACTTTGTATTATGGTAAATTGCCAAAAAATGAAATGCTAAGTTTGCCAGTAACAGGTAGGTGGTGTTATTATCTCTAGTAGGTATATTGTCCGTCGATTTTAATCTGATACTCGGACGGAATGTGAGCTGGTGTATTAGGGGTGTAAAACGCTTTAGTGCAACAAAAATTAACAAATTTTCTATAAAAATTAGTTGATATATCCTTTATACAGTTGGTTTTCTATCAATTTAAGTGCGGATATTGACGTTTTTTGCCGTAGTAAGCGAATAGCGATTAGTTAATACTTAATGGTCAACAGTGTACACGTGTTGCGAACATTTCAGCATTTAAATAGTGATTTCCAAAAGTTTATTGAAGAAATAAAAAGTGAGAAGTTGTCTAACCATAAATAAAAGTTAGTAAAAACTATTGTGCTAAAAATTCGAGTGAAAACGTTTGGATTTTTTATTCAAAATACAGCTTTGTTTACAAAAATATAAGGCAGCAGCTAACAACGTTGCCAAAGATGCCGGAAATTGAGGTATGCGATATTTGCAAAAAAACGGTTACAGATAATGATGAAGGGCTTTTATGTGAAAAATGTTTTGTGTGGAAACACAGAACCTGTCTGTCAATGGCTTCTAAAACCTACCAGAAAATCAGTAGATCAACGGAAAAGTGGTTCTGTAACCAATGCCAAGAAAAACCCCGAAGGCAAGTGTCAAACAACGAAATCATGGAGAAACTTGAAACCATGGGAAAGCAGTAAAAAAACAGCTAAATAAAAGTGAACAGAAAGAGCTTAGGAATAATGTAGTGATGCTAGGGGTTCCTTATCAAATGAATGAAAACCTAACACAAATAATTGAAAAAATGGGAAACGAACTCCAAGTTGATTTAGCAAATCAGAAGTTTTCAGCGTTTAGAATTGGAAAGAAGGAAGACCTTAAACCTAGCCCAATTAAAATAAAATTTGAAAATGAGGAAACTAAAAACAAGATATTGAAATCCCCTCGTAAGATAAATTTAAATACAAGTTGATTAGGATATACTGCAAATAACAAAATATTTATTAATCAAGATCTCACTAAAAGGAACTTAGATCTTTACAAAAAATGTAACGCTTTTAAAAAAGAGCATGAATTTAAATATTTATGGATAAAAGATGGCAACATCTTTTTAAGAAAAAAATAAAACACAAGAATCATGCTAGTTGAGAAGGTAGATCAATTAGTTAGCAATTAGGAAGTTGGGCCTCGAAATTTGAATGTAGCATACATGAACATTCAGAGCATACGTAAAAAAATGGATGACTTGCAAGGTTTTGCAATTACAAACAATTGTGATATATTGGCATTTTCTGAAACATGGCTGGAGGAAAATGAAGTGTTCTGTTATGATATGGAAAGCTACAACTCACTGCATTCATGTCGAGCTAATGGCAGAGGTGGTGGGACTTCTATCTACATTAAGAAATCAATTAAATGTCGTCTTATAGAGAAATCAAATTCAAACCAAACAATTAATTGGATATGTGTGGGAGTGGGTGAAAATGGGTTAAAAGTAAGTGTTTTGTATAGACCTCCATCTTACAACCTAACTGATTTTTTAGTAGATTTTGAAAATATTTTATCAAAACATCCAAAAAAACATATCATTATTGGAGACTTTAATGTTGACTTATTAGAAGATACCAGGTCAGTTAGTAATTATAAAAACTTGCTGTATATTAATAATTTTAAAATCATCAATAATATTTCGGAAAAAGATGCTACAAGAACTACTGATCATAGTAAAACTATTATTGACCATATTTTATCAGATTTTGGTGCAAATGGTAGACATTCAATAGAAGTTCAACCTAACTCTCTGTCTGATCACAATCGTTTAATTTTTAATATTCAGAAAAATATCAAAATTTATAAACCGAAAATTAAACACAATATCAGAATTGTTGATTATGTAAAATTTAAGTCACTTTTCAAAAATGGACAGCTGTACCTCGGAAGTCACATCATTTCGGGAACTTATTGAGGTTATCAAAGAGAGTAAGAGCTTATCACAGTATGACAGAATTATAAAAACTAGAGAAAATAATACCTGGATGAGTCGGGAAGTTCTGGAAATGATGAGACAACGAGATAAGGCATATATAAAGAAAGTAAAAAATCCTGGAAATTTTGAATATGAAAATGAGTTTAAAAGGCTTAAAAATAAGGTTAATAATAAAATTAAATGTTTAAAAAATTCATATTTTCGTAAAAAATGGGATCAGGCAGGTAGCAACCTAAAAAAACAGTGGGACTTCGTAAATGGTTTTTTTGGTAAGAGAGTAAACTTAACAAACATTGATTCATTGTTAGTTGAAGGAGTGAAGGTCGAAAATACAGATAATATTGTAAATAGTTTGAATAGACATTTCGCGAATGTTGGAGAAAATATTGTAAATAATTTGGATAATGAAATTCGTCAGAACGGTATAATTAGAGAGTTTGAGGATATTGAATGCGATAGAATAATGGAGGTGGAGCTTACGAGTGAAACTGAAATTGATGAAATCATATCGGAACTAAAACGAAATTCATCACCAGGAGATGATGAAATTACTGTACTTGACATAATTAATCTACGAGAATATATTTTAAAAACGGTTACTAAGCTGGTAAATACAGTACTCAACAACGGTATATTCCCACAAGAATTAAAAATAAGTAGAATTACTCCGATATTTAAATCTGGCGATACTGATTGTATGAATAACTATAGGCCAATTTCAATTGTAACCGTTTTCTCAAAAATCATTGAAAAAATTATAAAAAAGCGCATGATAGCTTTTATAAATGACAACATATGTTTTGATGAGTTCCAATATGGTTTTGTTAAAAATAGTGGCACACTAGGTGCTACTTTTGATTTTGTCAATTATGTCACAAATGCACTATACCTTTTCAACTTCAAATTGGGACTAAACAACTTTAAGTTGGGAACTAACAAAATCAAATTGAGAATTAACAATATCAAATTGGGAATAATCATATTTAATTTGGTACTAATCAACTTCAAATTGGGACTAATCAATTTTGATTTGGGAAGAAACAAATTCAAATTGGGAATAGACTTATTCAATTTAGCAAAATATATTTGAGACTTTGACTTTGAGTTTGTTTTTCCTTCCGATTACATTCAAGTCCCTTAGAGAATCATGAACTATTTCTTCGAATTTGAGAAAAATATTTGTGCCAGAGATGTAGCTCATATTCAACATATTATACATGCGCTAAACATGGCTGATTAGTGATTTGCAAATTGCGAATGAAAACATTTCATCAAAATGACATTATGTTCAAATTTTTCTTTTATTTCAGCGTAATTTCAGGATTTTCCTTTATGTATCCAGTCATTTAAACCTAATGTTCTTCTGAAATGTTTGCTTTTCTTTGTCCCCCACGTTTCCTTCGAACAACTTCTTGGGAACCTGTTACGGGATTAATTTTCTCCCTAAAATAAAGGTACCTCGATCTACCAATCGAGTCAGTAAGGTTCATAAACACTCACGCAGTTTTCAGGATTTTATTTTCACAGTACCACCTAACAATAATTGTGCTTATTTATTTAAACATTTGACTATAAATAATAACAGTTCCCTGCTTTGGTCCAATTACAGATTTCTGCTTTCCCTTCCTCGATGGTACCATGGTACCCAACCTAAAATTGTGACACTTAAAAATTCCCTATTTGGACACCCATGCTTCCGGAAGGGATAGGTTTTTTTGGGTAAAAAAGAGGGCAGCTTTTTGAAGAGCACGTTGTGAGCTTCCTCTCTTAGCGCTTTTGCTGATTTTACCATAAGTTTTGAGTCCCTAATTGGATCCCCTTTGTGAGTTGCTGAGATTAAAGCATCACAGTGCCACTAGGCAGATTTTTGGTCAAATTTTAAGGGTTTAAACCTCAAACTTAACCGTTTTCCTTTGTGTGCTGTATCTGGAAAAGGTCAAAGTATTTTGGTAAGTTCTCGTTTCCTACTATTTCTCTTTTGCTTACCCTGTGTGAATATATATATTTTCGTTTCAGGCCTTTTTGTTTTTCCTCTTATTCTTTTCGTGTTACACTGCTACTGTTGTCTTCACCCTTCATCGAATGCTTGGCATCTCCTTCGACAATCTTAAGTACTGATTGCCCACCAACCACCTCAGAACTCAAGAGGACCTAAATCTCCCCATTACCTGCCAACCAGAAAGATTTTGAAGGTTTCCAGACCTCACTCCAAGTCAGAAGTCATCCTGGTCTCTGTAAGACTGGTAACCAACACGTATTTGAGGATTCAATCTGTAAGTCAGTCTGATCATTTGTGTGTGTTGTCCTGGGTCCTGAAATTATATGGTTACACTCCAGCTGAGATAAAGAGTGACGTTCTGTAGCCAAAATATAAACTTACGTCAGTTTCGCGACGTAGCACTGTTCAGCGAAGCAAGGGCTAAGAAATTCCATAGCTGGATAGAGGCCTATAATAACCTTTAAGAAATTTGTTGTTTTATTTTTGCCTATTACAATTATTACCTGATTTATCCATCCTTGTATAACTTTGCACTTTAAGTAGGTACACTACTTTACGCCTAATTTAACATCGGGATAACTGTACACCGGGAAAATAGGCCTATTTCGAGGGTAAACGACTATTGATGTGTACATTGATTTTTGAGATCTTTAATGACTAAAATAAGGTTATAAATTTTTAATAAAATGGTAGGTATAGTATGGTTTTAAGGCAATAGAATAGGTAGTAGTGAGCCAAACATCATGCTATCTGGAAGTGCTGTCACATTACAGAGTCAGTTGAACATCTTGGGGGTTACTGCAGAGACCAACATGTCTTGGCACAGTCACGTGGCAGATATTGCTAAAAGGGCCTCCCAAAAGCTGGGGGTGCTATTTCGTACAAGACATCTGTACACACCAAGCCAATTGCTGACACTCTACAAAGCCCAGATTCGACCAACTATGGAGTACTGCTCACATATATGGAGTGCAGCACCCAAACATAACTTAATGCTTTTGAATACCGTGCAAAAACGAG